AACCCGGCCTCCTCCCACCCCTCAGTGAGGGCATCTGGAGCCATGGCCCCCCCGGGACTTTCGTCGGCAGGGCTGGGTTAGGGGTGGACGTAAGAGGTATGCAAAGAAACAACGTAAATCCCTGTAACCAGAATATCAGCGTTCAAGTTAGTTGCTGCCCGCCGGGGCGGGCTGGGGGTGGCTGCAGATCCCCGTGGTAGGCTGCAGTGATGGCGGCGCCTTCAGAGAAAGGCTCTACAATGCATTCTCCAGCTAGTAGCCTCTTTTTTTTTTTTTCTTTTTTTTTTCTTTTTTTTTTTTTCATTTCAAGAGGACGGGGCAAGAACATGTTCTCCAGGTGCTCTTGGGAGCACCCTCTGCAAGTGCTCCTGCACCCGCCTGCTGCCTTGGGTAGACATGATGCCCCCTGCAGCAAGCGGCTGTGTCTATTAAATGCTTTTATCCCTGTGCTGTTCCCATACGTCCCATCAGCGCCCAGATGCTGGGCCGCAGGAGAAGGCTCAGCAGGATGGGTCCAACTCCATGGCTTTCCCTGGCCTGGCCTGATGGGCACCATGGCGAATGGCCCCAGCCCTCATCACCCCTCAGGGCCCAGACACCATCTCCTCCTCCCTCGCGGCCCTGGAAGGTGGCAGGATGGGGCTGGAGGACACCCAGGCAGCTCTGGCTGCTTCGAAGCTGCCCTGCCTGGGCCTGAGGACCAACAGCCCTGGGCCAGGCCGGCAGCCATGGCAGAGAAGTGGTTGTCACAGCAACCGTGGGGGCTGCCATCACAGGCGCCCACCATGGGGACAGCAGGGTTCCCACCCGGGGCAGGAGGGAAGGGGAGTTGTTTAAATAAACCAAAGCAAACCAAACCCCTCAAGCTATTGTTGTGTTTTTGTTTGTTTTTTTCTTCTTTCCTCTCTTCCTAACACGTAAGGACAGCCATGTCCTGCCAGCGGGCCGGCTGTGAAGGGCTGAGTACCACCTGGCTGGTTTTGTCATAAAGCACAGTGATAAAGTTACCAGTAAATGAAACCCGCAGACATGTGGGTTTATACATTCTTCCCCAGTGGCGTTGGGGTTTTTGTTTCTTTTTTTTTTTTTCCTTCTTCTTTTATTCTTTTATTTTCTCCTTCACAAGTGCTGGCTGGATGGTAGGGGGAGGAAAGGTGAGGGAGGCACATCTCCCTCTGCCGCAGGCCTATGGCGGTAGAGATGCTGCTGAATCCCTCCTGCTGTGTGGAGACCACTGGGGACAAGCCACAGCGAAGGGGTGGTGGGGTTGGAGAGCCGCTCGTCCTGCAACAGGATGGTGACAGGAGGTGGCTGGACGCTGCTGGGAGGGATCGAGGCCGGTGCTGGTCATCTGGCCTGCCATGGATGCCTCCCCCAAGGACCAGCGAAGGGAGGAGCTGGGGACAGTCCTTGAGAGGCTGCCATGGGGCTGCTCTTCTGCCTGTAGCCATGGGGTGGGCGTTCGTTTCACAAATCCTGGGTCATTTTCTGCACTGGCCAAAACCCTTCTGCTGTGAATGCACTGAAAGCACCTTGCTCCCTGGGCAAAGCTCGGTCCTTTCTAAGGGGCTTCCTACACTCAGGCTGGTTGTATGAGGAGACATGTTGCTTGTTTCTCCTCTTCTGCTAAGCTGTCCTCTGCACACGCGGTGTCTCTTAAAGGAGATGTGTAGCACTGAACCTTTTACTGCCCCTGCTAAACATTGGAGACTCCCCTCTGCTGCGCATGGTGTAGAAAAGGGATGATTGCACCAGCTGGGTTTTTTTCTTTTTGAGATAAAGTTTAAAATCCACAGGGGAGAGCAGTCCATCGCAACTTCCCTGACACGCTGGAGTTCATCCCCAGGGCTTGCTTGGAGGATAGAAGAGCAGCGTCTAAGCTCATCTCATCTGTTGTCCATGGAAGAGGGGATCAGGGTGGTGGTGGGTGATGGTTTTTGAGTCTCCTGGATGATGAATAGAGACCAAGACCTGTGGTGTTTCACAGCCTCCTCCCCACCTGCCCAGTCCCCACCGCCGCATCTGTTGCTGCTCTAAGTGCTGCGGTACGTTTTGATGATATCTTTGATGGCCCGTCTGCAAATGGGGCAGCAAGCGTTGGCCATCTTCTTGAGCTTCAGCCCACACGAATAGCAGAGACACATGTGTCCACAGGAGTAAATGACCGTGTCTACCATGTTCTCGTAGCAGATGGTGCATTCATCTCCCCAGGGCCCTGAGACGGACGGAGAGATGGGTGACTCAGGCAAGCTGATGGGAGAGTTGGGAGCTGTGCCTGAAACACAAAGAACAGGGTCACTCATGCTGCTTGTAAAAGGCTTCTTGACATCCCAGGGAGCTTTCTTCCCCGAGGGAGGAACCATGCCCTAGGAGAAATGGGTGCTCCAGGATCAGGGATCCTTCCTGTGACCTACTGTCCCACTCACTGAGCCCTGGTTCACTGGCAACAGAAAAGCAGCATCTGCTGGGATCTGCTGCCCACGTAGAGCAAACCAAGAGACAGCTGTTCCCATGCAGCAGGGACAAAGAGTAGTTTCACATTTTCAAACCACTGTCTAAACATTAACAAAGGAGGAAAAATCAGGAGGGGTGGATCACGCCATCTGCTTTGAAAAGGGAGAGGCTGGGTGGCACAGGGTAGCAGCAGCTCCCAAGACAAGCAGTGCTTCATCTCTAGGGCCAGGCCAGGGGTGTGGGACCACAATGCCTGGCTACAAATCACCCTGGGTGGATCCTTCAGGACAGGGGTGGGGAGATACCTGCATGGACAGCATCTAACTCATAGTGGGTCATTGCTTTGAGAGCTGGTGGGGGGGGAGAAGGAGGGCTGCAGCAATTATGCTCGTGGCACACTTGTAATTACAAGGCCTCAACAATGAAACCAGATGAGGTAGCAAGATACATGTCTACATGTACATAAGCCTTGGAATGGGCTGCCCAGGGAAGGGGTTGAGGCCCCATCCCTGGAGGGATTTCAAAGCTGGGTTGCCATAGTGCTTAGAGCCATGGGTTAGTGATGGTTTTTATCAGAGTTAGGGTGATGGTTCGTCTAGATGATCTGAAAGGTCCCCTCCAACCCAGACAGTTCTATGATTATATGATAATGAGAACATTTCTATTTCTTTCCCCCAAAACCCATTAAAAATCTGAATATTTGCTTTCACCAGTTATTAGATTTGAGACTGATGGGTACCCTCTCAAAAAACACACTTAGTTTTGACAACAATGACAAGGATTTGTTAAGATATAGATCCCACCATCAGTGCCTTAGGATCATGCTGGTGCTTGGGGCTTTAAGATGCTGCAGAACAGCTTGTCATTTTCTACTGTGTGTATCTAAATCTCACCGGAATTCATCGGCATATTAGGAATATCAATACTGAAGGTGTGTGGAGAGGGAAAGGGGGGGTGGGCCTGAAGGCATAACCATGGCTCCAGTCTCAGCTAGCGTGCAACTTGTCACTGCTATGCAGCTCTCCAGAAGGAGCTGTGCGTCACAGGGCCACGCACATAACAGAAACTCTGCTGCGTCCCTCGGGACCTTTCATGATGAAAAGGGTTGGAGAAATATTGCTGTCTAGGCATCTAAGCAGCTTCCACGTAGAAACGGACTGAAAATAGCTTCTGCAGAGGCTCTCCCTCCCTCCCCGAGGGAGCTGACGGGAGACTCTGTTGATCGTTGTGGTTTTAGAGTCCTTCTGGGAGACGAGCCTGAGCCGGGTGAAGGGAGGCAGCGCAGGGAGGCAGAAGAGGGGGGGTCCCTTCTGGGGGATCCCACCACACTTACCACTGATAGAGCTGCAGAGGGGGCCAGAGCCACACGTAGACAATATGGGGTCGGAGACACCGCTGCAGAGGACGGTGGGGGAATTGGGGGTCGACGTGGGCGAGCTCGGTGTGGACAGCCCCAGCCGCTCGGCTAATATGGTGGAACCTGCACCACAAGAAAAAAAACCCAGTTACTTCTTAAAAATTGGGGCTGACGAGGCACTGGGGATCTGCGGCAGGGAGTGCAGCTCTCAGCACTTGTCAGGATTTGTGTCTCATCAGCACAAAATCTAGGGAAGACATAAAAGAAAAGAAACCCTCATATGCCTTTCTAAATGCTAGCAGCTGGCCCTGAAGAGACACTGAGCTCCCACAGCCCCCGAAATTTGCTGGAGCTCCTTTAGTCATCATAACCCTTTGTTTCTGCCCTTAAATGTGTCTCAAGTCATTAAGTGCAGTTACTTTCCTTATGGTTTCATGCTCACATGCCCCCTGGGCACTATATCCAGTGATGGGCTTGTTGCCAGCAGAGGACACAGCCTGCAGTAGGGTGAGCTGGATTCCAGCACAAGAACGTATCACCTTGTCAAAGCACTCCACGCTAACCCGGCACAAAACTGCATCATTCCAGGCTCCCACAAATTCATGCAAAGTCACTCAAGGACTTCCTAGAGACAAGCAGGAGGGTTTGGGAATCAGGAGGACTTAGCTCTGCTCACTGCTCTGCCACTTCCGTAGGGTGGTGTCCATCAGCTGTAAGTCACCAAGGTGCATTTGGCTCTGCAATGAACAAAGACACCTCTCCCACCGTTCAGGAATGTTTTCTCCACTCCCTGCATGGTTGAATGGATGGCTCAAGAGTGCAGAACCCCTTCGAGTGTCCCTTCTAGGTGTCCCCAGCTCCACTGCCTCCTGCCCTCACTGCCCACCATCACCCCTGGGTTAGTGTGGTCTGTCAGAAAAACCAGCTTTGCCCCACAGCCTTCTTGGCACCCTCCCTCTGACTCAGCCTCTTTCTTCTGCTGTTATAACAAGAAGTATCTTAAAAACCCTTCCATAAGGGAAAAAAATGGGAATGCTTAAAAATCTAACTGCTGCAAAGGTTTTGTAGGGGAATTTCATCGTTAACGATGCAGTCTGGTCCTCTGTAAGACAGTGGTGAGACAGCAGCAAGAACCAAGGTATGGTGTCCGGGTGGTAAAAACTAGTTTGCCTATGGTTCTAAAGTTAAAGTTTCTAGTTCTCCAGCTGAGAGGACAACCAGGGTAACTCCAAATCACAACTAAAATGCTAAGACTTCTTCGTGTTACCATATAAGGAGCTGAGAGACACAGAGGGCTTGGATCTGCAGTGTCCTTGATGAGTTGGAGGCTACTCTCCAGAGAAAAAGCAGCAGTAGGAGGCCAGGAAAACCCCACGCACCAGAAAGGTTCTTCAGTTCCTATTTGCAGGGAGGCTACCAAGCCAAGAAGGACCAAACCTGGGAAGCAGGGACTCCAAATGCCAACTGCAGCAAAAAACCAACCAAGAGCACAGCAGCAGCCAGCGCCAGATTCTCCTGCCCTTTTAGCAGGACAAGACTGAGCAGTTTAAGTGTAGAACAGTGACTTGTGTGTGTGATGGTTTGGTCAAAATCTGTTCTGAGGGCTGCATATGGGAGAAGCAGCAATTAGCTTCAACCTTCAGTCCCTCAGTTTTGCTCCTCTTCAAACGAGGAGCGCTTTGCTCCCAGGCACGATCTGAAGTTGAATCAGCCTCTGGAAAGGTCTTTGGGGCTCTCAGGCTTGAGACGCTGTGGAGAGGCACCTCCTTCATCACACAGACGGGAGCTGAGGCTGGAGTTGAGCTCAGTAAACACGCAAAGGGAATGGTTCAGCCTCTAATGACAGCCACGAGCGATGGCCCTTCCCCTCCAATCTGACAGATGACCGACCGTGGCGGAAAACTTGCCCTGTGGGTAACACATACTGTAAACAGGCCCAGCAGGGGCACAGATTTCAGCTCCTTCACTGCACAAATATGAACACTGAGCAGCTGAACAAGTTTTTCAAGCCTTCCCTCTCCCCCTTGCAGCCTGGAGACATCTCTTCCCTTCGACTGACACACAGCACATTGCATTTCTAACACCAACCCGGTCATTTCATTAAATGCAAAATAAAGACTATTTAGGAGCGCTTTTTTTCCTCCTGGACTAATAGGAGAATTTGGAGGTGCCTCGAGTGTGAACTCTGTGAGTATGAACTGCTGAAGCATGCTGGCAGCAGTGCAAATGGCCTCTCCACAGTGCAAGGAGAGCTCATCAGGGCAGGATCTTTTCTGGTTGTAGCTGGTCCGAGTCCCAAAATGGCCTTACCCAAGACCCAGGGGCCAGCACACACCTTCTCAGCTCTTTTTCCTAACACAAGGCGCAGCTCTTGACTTCTCTCCAGCGTAAGCCTAGAGCTTTTGTTTAAAACAATCCCAGTTCCCTACCAGACAAGACACACTTCTCCCTTGGTGACAGAATAATCAACATAAGACACGTTACTCACGCCGTTAATATATTGCTGGATGGTGTGCAGATACCATGACAAGGAGCACGGAATGAGATCATGTGCAGGGCGGAATGAGTGTGGCCAGCTTGGCTTAACTCAAACCAGACACATGTGCTCAAGGCCAAACATGCTCATTGTGCACACAGAGCTCCCACCAAGAGCTAGCTTTCAAACCGTGATGTAAAAAAAAATAATTAAATAATTCTAAATAAATTAATTTAAATACTGATTTAGAAACATTCTTCCTCTCTAAAGCTCCCAGATAAATTATCTCTGCTGCTAACTTGCCTCATGCTTGATCTCAAAACATGCTGAACACACTGGGATCACCTTTAAATGGATTTTGAATCAATTCCATTTGCTGTTTTATCTTTGCAAAGTCCAATTATTAGCAAAAATCCAATGCAGATTGACTCTTTCTCTGCGCTTCTGTCATCACTCTGGGAGAGGTGCAAATAAATGAACCTATATGTCCTCCCACAAACGGAAAGAGAGTATTATATTTTCAGTAGACGAGAGCATTACCATGGAACGTACAGACAACATCATGCCAGGAAAGGCTGCTAAAGGTTTGTAATTCAAAATGGATTGTTGTAATTCAAACTGGAAATAGGATCGGGATGGCATTCAATACGATGAAATGCAAAATGCAGCACTTTAAGCAGAGATAATCGGCTACCCAACTGCAGGACAGGGAATTAGTCCATTCAATTAGAAATACAGCTGTCTTACAGAAAAAGGCCTGGGGATTGCTGGAGGTCACCAGATGATCATAAATCAACATTGCCATCCCACTATGAAAAGGTCGCGCCAATCCAGGGTCATATGAGGCTGGTTAAGGACTGGAGCAGGAGCCTGGCAGCACTGTGGCATCTCTGTTCCTGGAAATACTCAAAACTCAACTGGACATGGTCTGCTGCTAGCTTGGAAGTTTGCCGTGCTGTGAGCAGGAGGTCAGATTAGCTAATTCCCAGGGGTCCCTTCTGACCTAAGCACCATGTCAACCTGTCTTTTAAATCCCTCCAGGGATGGTGCCTCAACCACTCCCCCGGGCAGCCCATTCCAATGGCACCCATTAACTTCTTGGGATTTTACCAGGACATTCCTCATACTGTCTCAGTGTGGGGAAGAGTCTTCATGTTCATAAGGAGACAAAAGCAAGACTCAACTAATTTTACTAAATTTCTGTCTCCTCTCAGCCCTTTCCCCTCACAATTTAATTCAACATTATATAGTCCCATTGCATTTTTTCAGATTTTAGCCCAAAAGGCCTGTGAGCACAATATTTCTGTCAGAGCAGTGGGACTGTGCTTGTGGAAGTCTTGCAGACACCACGCTCCACAGGCTGAAAATGTCTGCTGCTTTGAAGTGGAAATGTGGTATTGCATAGTCTGGAGACTTTGCTTTTAAGTTAGAAAAGAAACTAATGAGCAATACCCGATGTTTGCTGGCTGCAAATAGGAATGAATACGATGACTTCTGCCCCCAGAATGCTGTCTGGCAATGCCAAACACCTTCTTAGGCAGTTCACTCACCTCCTGCTAATTGCATCACCTGTCTAGGCTCCTAAGGATTATTTCATAAGCATTATAAAAATAATGCAGAAGCATTCGGTCTACACTCCACAACTATATTTTTTTCCCTGGTTTGAACCCATCCAACTTAAACTTTATTTTACCTGTCATACAGGATGCTGTCAGTAAATGATCACTATTGTCCAACTCACAGCTCACATAGTCTGAGCATCTTCACCTTTTTAATGGGCTTTCCTTACCCATACTCATCTTCAGTACTATGCCAGGATCTTAACTAAACATTCTACCTAAAAGACAAAATATGGGAGCCTCCTGCCATAGTTTCTAAGGGAGATAAAGTCTTCTGTAACGTACTGACTTGCCCATATGCTGAGTATCACGTGGAGCACGCTGACAGCCCCTTCTCTTTTTATAACACATTTGCTGCAGAAATAGGACAGCTAATGAAGATCAGGTAATTACCAATAGTAATCACAGATTTTTGATGTTGTTCCATCCATCCAAAGGTCCCAGAGCTTCCAGCACACAGTGGAAAAGATTAGAACAGCTGCTGAAATCTGGCTGCAGACTTCAACTGCGATATTTAAGGGTGCTCAAGAGAGCTGTGCACTTCTCATACGTTTTAGTCCAGTGAGCACTGGGCACCTGACAATCATAGTCATTTAGATGCCTTGCAAAACTCTCAACTTGATTTCCCTTTGTTAGGAGCCAGATTTTTACACCTGTCAGCTAAAATAATTCCCCTATCTCAAAAACTGCTCCCTTCTCACGTTTAACACTCCGAATGAATCAGGGCCATTGATTTTGTTATCTAAATAGGATCAAGGTTCTTTCAAAAATCTGGCACAATTGTGGGTACTGAGCTCATGTGAACATCTGCCTGTGGACCTGCAAACTGGTGAAATTACACAGCTATTTTGCATATTACAAGAGCAAAAGCCCATATTGAAGGTACACTGGGGAACACAGGACAGTTGACCTGGTGGTGAGACACAGTGTACTGAGATCTCCTGGCTACTTTCCTGTCTTCTCCCATGAAGGAAGATGAAGTTTCTTTCTCTGATGTTCCCCAGGCAGATGTCAGACCAGCACCTCTC